TTAGAAAACACAAATTTGTTCTTACTGCCGATACAGAGAAGATGTATCGACAAGTTCTGGTTCATGAAAATGATAAAAAATGCAGCGAATATCTTGGCGGAATAACTCACATAAAAATTTATGACCTAATACTACTGTTACATACGGAACTGAATCTGCACCGTTTTTAGCACATCAGATGTTTAGAACAATTAGCCAAGAAAATGTAATTCAATATCCAGAAGAATGCGATAATTATTCGAAATGATTTTTACGTAGACGACTTATTGACTGAACATAGGCGATCAAACTGTCAAAACTTTAGGTATATCGTGGAACGCATTAACTGACTGTGTTTTAATTTTCAATACGGATAATATAACGTTAAGACAAACAATAAATAAAGGTCTATTTTGGCAGCAACAGCACAAATATTTATATACAAAACTCCCTCTACTCTATATAAAATAATTTCCTATCCTACTCTAGGTACTAAGATAGTTTTTAAAAAATCCTCATTCTGTGCGCATAACTTGAACCGTGAACATCAAAGAAATACTATTAATAACTAAACCAACTTATTGAACATACTTATTTTTAAAGGTCTGATATAGCCATTTTAATAATAAACTAGCTGTAAGTGGAATTCTATTTTGAGGCAATTATGGCATCGTGCCTTAAGGCAAATTGCTGGAACTTCCCGCACCGTAACGAAATGTTCGAGGAATACTGAATGTTTTCAAATAGATTATTATAAATATTGTAACATTGTGTAATATTTATAAGAATTATATAAACCGAATTGCAGAGTTGAAAATATTTGTAAAGTATATTAGAACTATAGTCAGAATTAAAAATAAAATCTGAAATATTTTCGATATACAAAATACTAAAAAAAAAGGGTACAATTTTTTTTTTCCAAAATCAATTATTTTGTTAAGACAAGCAGAAAGTTCTTTGAATCATTTAAATCGGACGCTTAGTTCTCTCAAAAACTGCCATTTTTTACATATTTAGCTCCGTATCTTCGAAATGGCTGGGCCTGCCTTTGCCAAAAACTAATAAACACTTCTTCCAATCATTACTAATTGAATGTTTTTTAGATCATTCAAATCGGATACTCCGTTCGCTCAAAAATTCGATTTCTATTTTGAAAAATTTATTTTGATATTTGAAATTGACATTCAATATTTTTAATTAAATGCAAAAGTAAAAAATCTGATATTTATATAAAAATTATATATATATTTAGAGATAATGGTACTGCGGTGGATTCAGACTAAAATCTAATTTATTCATTGATTAAAAATATTTCACTATTTGACATAAATAAATTAAAATAAACAAAGCACTATGATGCGTTCGAATTAATTATCAAAATGTAAAGAAATTCGTGTAATAAAAATGTAACATTATTATTAATATATCATGTATATTATAAAAACTTTTGCAATGCGGAAAATATTTTTGATGGCAAAACAGCGTTTGCCTTGCGGGTCAGCTAGTATATATATATATATATATATATATATATATATATGTATATCCGGACCTCGCACCAAGCGATTACCATCTTTTTCTTGCATTGCAAACTTTTTTA